GGCTAAGTTGAGTTGTCGGGGTCTGCAGGGTCACTCTCAAACCGGTGGAAAGCCTTGCGTGACGAAAGGATACCGACAGCATCTTTTGACAAAAAAAAACTAGAAATATCTGGGCACACTGACAAAACCGGACAGAATTTGTTTCTCTATTTTTGCAAAGTGTTTAGATTGTCCAGCACGCTTTCCACGGGCCATAGCGTAGACCATGCGTGGTCGTTGCAGAGGTTGCACGAAAGCCGTGGCTAAGTTTAGTTGTCGGGGTATGCAGGGTCACTCTGAAACCGGTGGAAAGCGTTGCATGACGAAAGGATACCGACAACATCTTTTGACCAGAAAAACGAGAAATATCCGGACACACTGACAAAACCGGACAGAATTTGTTTTTCTATTTTTCCAAAGTGTTTAGATTGTCCAGCACGCTTTCCACGGGGCATAGCGCAGACAATGCGCAGACCATGCGTGGTCGTTGCAGAGGTTGAACAATGGTTGAACAAAAGCCGTGGCTAAGTTGAGTTGTTGGGGTATGCAGGGTCACTTTGAAACCGGTGGAAAGCGTTGCATGACGAAAGGATACGGAAAGCATCTTTTGACCAAAAAAAAAACGAGAAATATCCGGACACACTGCCAAAACCGGACAGAATTTGTTTCTCTTTTTTTCCAAGGTGTCTAGATTGTCCAGCACGCTTTCCACGGGGCATAGCGCAGATGAAGCGTGGTCGTTGCAAACGGAAAAAAAAGGTTCAAAGACATTCAAAGGATTTTGCTGTACAAAATGAGGACCTTTCCCAGCTGGGGTAAGAGATACTTCCCTACAAAATGAGAACCCCATAAGAAGGCAATTTTAAGGTACCACTCTACAAAATGAGAGCTTTCCAGTGAGGTCAACATCACGGATCGAAAGGGTTGATGTGCTTAAAATGAGAGCCCTCAGCGGTCGCAAAATATACATCCCAGAGTTTGGTGATATATGGATGGTTCTTTATTCATGCGAGAGGGCAGGGGCCTTCATTTTGTAGAGCAGTTTTGGTGAAATTCCATCTTTGCTGGGTCCCCTGGAGGCTCACATTTTGTAGACAGCCTGGGTTATAGCTGGGGTCATAGGATTTCATTTTGTAGATAGGAATAACCCAGCGGCTTCATTTTAAGCCCACAAAATGGGGGCCACTGGGTGACAGGGGGTAATCTACAGGGGTATGTATTAGATATTATTCAATCCAGTAAACTATATTTGCGCCGCCGTATACAGGCACTGCTGACCGCACGCGCGCACCGTACGCTCGCACGTACGCACCGTACGCCCTGACCGTTCGCAAATTTTGGTGGCAAAATCGAGCGTTTTGTTAGCAAAATCAGAGGTTTTGTCAGCAAAATCCAGGATTTTGGAAGCAATTTTGCGCGCGCAGTGCGGGCGCGCAGTGTGAGCGCGCAGTGTGCGCGTGCAGTGCGTGCGGGCAGTGTGTGCGCGCAGTGCGCGCGCACAGTGCCACTGCGTGCAGTTAATTGCGCAGATTGATATTTGCTTTGAGCTTGCTGCGAGCATCTCGCGCCGTACAGATTTGAGATCTCGTGCAGATGTCCCGAGTTTTTTGGAAAACTGTTTGAAGCTTCTCGTGCAGCTTCCCGATGTCACAGAGTCTGTGCCGAGCCGGCGTGGAGGAAGTACCTGTGGGGACACGAAAACCCCCAGGAAAGCATAGCGCGGTCCTTTTGCCGTTGTTCTTGCAGTCGTTCTGTTCCCCTTTATTTGAAGCTGGTTTTGGGTTTGCATGGTGTAGATTTGCGGCTGTGTGAGGATCTGTTTGAGCCAAGATGCGCCTTACTATAGCAAACTCAGAAGCAGTTACTATCGCGGTGAAATCATTCAAAGTCAAGCAAAACTCTGGCTTTGCAGGGTTTCAACATCAGCTCCGAAACCTTCATTCGTGCAGGGGCTATGCTCAGGGGAAACATAGCCTGGTGAAGGTGTCTCGAGTCTTGCTTGATAGTTGTTGGTATTTTGCGCATTATTCCTTGCAACTTGTGAGAACAAACGGGAAGGTGTGGGATTTTCAGGTTTTCGACTTCACCTGCGCCACGCGGACGTGTCGTGAAAAAGCAAAATTATTTCGTATCTGCTGCATACTCTTCTTGAACATACAAACCCATATTTTCTTTCAGTTCCAAAGCAGGGCACAATCTGCAAGGTGCTTGCCCTTAGAGGCAGTAGATTAGCTACCAAGCTGATTAGGATCAATTAGGCGAATGAAAGCGGTCTGACCAAGGTGCCAACCTTGGAACATCATAGGTAACCATTTCCACAGTGTTATTTGCAAAAATCATAGCTTGGCAAGGTCCTTCATCCGTGATGTTGTCTGTGGAGGCTGTGTGTATTGATTTTTGGAACTTTTGCAGTACCGTTGATTTTTGGAAGTTCTAGGGAAGCTAACATGATTTCAAAACACAGCTTTTTGGAAGTTTTTTCCTTGACATTTGCTAGCTCCGTTTCACCTTCTCTAAATGTTAACTAAATTATATATGTATATATACACACACACCTTGTCACGACTAGCTCTTCAATGTTTTTGACAATGTTTTCAACCTTTGCAAAGTCAGAAATTGCAAAGTACGGCCATAGCTGAGAAAATGCTAAAGGAAACATAATTTTAACAAACTGCGCGCTTGAAAAAAATAAGAATTCCGGTCTTTGTGGAACATTTTCTGAAGCCTGTGCAGATCAATTCTTTGATTGAAAGTTCAGTAATTATTTGGAGGAGGCGTTCAGCTTTCCAAATTTTGATACAAAAAGGGCATATGCTTGTGTATGTTCCGAAAATATTCGACATTTTCAAAAGGATTCAAGACAGTTCTGAGATCTCAATGCCTGAACTTTTTTCTAAAAGCATCTTCTGAATTTGGATTATTGGAAGCGATTGCAAACTGAAATTGGCACAAATACCAGAAAAGGCTCAGAAATCTTTACTAAACAATTGTTGCAAAAAAAAATCTGAAAACTCATTTTCCGATTTCCCTGTGCTTTGAATGTTCTGAATATTGACTTCAATTACGTCGGAGAAATCAGGAAAAACAAGACAGTTCGGAAAATTGATTGGCTGGGCTGACCTTTTTCTTGTTTGTTCTGACATACATACTGAATCCACAAGCAAAAAAATGATTTGTGGATTTTTCCTGAACCTGTTAGAATGTTCAAACAAGGCAACATTTTTACAGCAAAAAGGGACAAAAACTAGAACAATGATTTGCTTCCGCCTTTTGCCTGCTTTCATTGCAGAAGCAGCTTAAAACAGAAACAAAGCAGAAGAGAAAGGCAAACTTTGAATCACGCTTCGGGTTTTTCAACCTTTCCAAAAAACGAAACACAAAAAGTTCAGATAAATTACGAAAAAATCCAAGAAAACAGGTTTTCTGTTTTCTGAATTTCTTCTTCATATTAATTGAAAAAATCGAAAAGGAGAAAAAACAATAAAGACAACTTCAGAATATTGAAATTATTATGACCTTGCTCTTTTTTGTAAACTTCGTGGTGTTCAAAAAGCAGTTTTGAAAGTGGCAGTTTTCAGTCAAGTCAGAAACTGCTCCGACAATTTCACTTTTCAAGAATACATCTGTCAGGTCTTTCAAAAACCAGAAGCAAATTTCAGGAATATGAATTTTCAATTTCTTCTCATTTTGCATGATTATGTACATGATCAGTCAGACCAGGTCAGGAAACCCAAGAATTATCATTTTTTACAAACATGGTTCGAGAAAATATCGGAGAACTTCTGGCTTCAAAGCTCAAAACTTTTCTGACCCTTGTCATTTACAAGACCTATTGTTTTTTCCAAACAATAGCGCGCCAACGGAAATTTTCAATGTACTGAAAGTCTTCCTGCGCTCAGAACGGCTAGGACAAGCCCTTTTTCTTCCATCGCTTCGTGCAACTTCAATCCTTTCGGGTTCTTTGGTTGCAGCAATATCATTGTCATAACAGAAATGTTTGTTTTGTAGTAGAATTTGGATAATTTTAGATAATTTCAGCACAGCAGTTGTGCCAAGCGCTGTGCCACACATGTTTTGAATGGCCTATAGATAGGATACATACGTTAGGTTCTTCAAATCCTTACATCATACGTAACAAAGTTGCAACTTCATCTATGGTGCTACCCGAACCTACAACTTTTTATTGATAGATACAACATATTCGCACTTGCACACAGATTGTAGAGCACAAACACTTCACAAACATGTTCAAAACCCGTAACCATCTGTAGACATTGATAACTTGGAATGTCCAACCTCCATGGATATCTTAAAACCTGAGCCTCATCCGTTCCAATTTATCTGTGAAATGTGAAACTCACCATTGAGATTGAGTGCTGGGGTTTTAACAAGCCGAGAGCCGATGTGTATACAGTGTATATGTTCCAGCGGGGGGTTAAGACTATCATTGCGCGCGTGTATCGCGCAGTGCATGCGTTACTGCGCGCATATATCGCGCACCGCACGCGCGCACCGCACGCGCGCACCGCACGCGCGCACCGCACTCGCGCACCGTTCACCGCACACGTTCGCTTTCGGAGGGGTCAATCGTTCACCACTCTTGAGTTTAGATAAATATATATATATATATATATAGAATGACACCATTGGTGATATGACCAAGACACCTCACACCCGAACTGACCGTACATGTAAACATGATTAAACATTAAACATGCATATAAGTTGGATATCCATCGATCGTCGATTGATCCAAAAAAAAACATCCATCCATCCATCCATCCGTCCGTCCGTCCGTCCATCCATCCATCCATCCATCCATCCTACCATCCATCCTATTTGTACGTACAATCTATGTGTTTCTCTGTTTGTTTGTCTGTCTTTCTATCTACCTATCTATTTATCTATCTACCTACGTGTGTCGTGTGTGTGTACATCAATGATATGCTGGGGTCACTTGCCACATTTTGTGGTGCTGGGCAGGCTGCCCGCAGCTCCTTTCATGAGCCAGACCACTTGAGGTCGAGCAGAGTAGCACCAGCAGTCATTTCATGGAGGATCTGGAGTCCATGACTTGCTTCAACCAAGCTTGCTCTGTGTGCGACACTTGGAATGCCTGGTTGGTTGACTTCTCTCTCTCTCTCCCTATGGATGCTACAAAGACAGTGGGTTGGAAACCGTACTCGTTCCTTCAAACATTGCCAGGTTAAGTTTAATTCTGATCAGTGTTTTGCTTGACAGCTGGTGCGTGTGTCATGATGTTCCTTCCTTTATGACCAACAAAGAAACAGCTGGGAGTTTCCCCCGTAGCACCACACTGATTACTTGCAGGATCATCCCACTTAATAAGCGGTCAATAAGCCGAGTTAGTAAGTCCCCACAAACCTAATCGCAAGTAACTAGCTATACAGGCTATATGGCTATATGGCTTTACAACATCATAATAATTATATACAATTATGTGATGTTTTTTACACTGGCCATGATGGCCATGAATATCGACATATCTGAGTGGCTTATAAATGTGGAAACATGAACCATTCATGATTCGTGGGATGATCCCACTTCCACCAGCCCCAGGAAAAGGCGACCCACTTGGAAAAAACGCCACGGTCGAAGCTGCTGCAAGTTCCGCGACCCCTGCGGTGCCTTTTATTGCCGGCAACGTGGCTTAAGGGTTAGGGCAGGAGAGATATGTAGGCTTGTCTAGTGCTGCATGCAATACAGGTCCTGTTGGGTCCTGTTGGGTGCTTAAAGGTGTGCCACGGATGATATGGCAGGCCAGCTCTTTGTTGTCTTTATGTTACATTTGGATATCCAAGACTTGAATGCTTGAAAGAATGATGTTGACTACTAGAAGTTATGCCATGTATATTCAGGGGTCAGTTCATTTGTTTGACATCTTCCAGTGTCATGAAGGCCATCTGCCGCATCGCCCTTAGGAGGTCCGACCTTTGCTGGTGCGCTACGTTTTCCGAGACTGCGAGCTGCAATCCGCATGCCGCTCACATGACGAAGGTCCTCAGAAGCAGGAGATGCTTGAAGGCACTGGGATGCCCTGAAGAAAATTGGACAAAATATGGCAGAATGGTGAGAATGAAGCTGAAACATTCTCTAAGATGCTTTCCTTGTGAAATTTTATGCTATATATTGCAGTATGAGGATGCGTAAAATAAGTTAAAATAAGATAACATACGAGTATAACTTGACTTCCAACAAACAATGCCCTGCTTCGCTGCATGAATGCCTGTTATTCACAGTGTATCATTGAAACAATCCCTTCCAGGCATTGGCCGCTATCACCAACAAATGCGAGATGAGAACCCGACTCTTGGCAGATCTTGGCAGCACCGCACAGCAATGCACAGCAGCACACAGGAAACCATCGCCATCCGTGTCAAGTCGCCATGTTTCCGTCTAGATCAGCTTCTGACAAACGTATGGCATCGTATGGCATCATAGCTGTATACATATTTGATAATATTTGATATTTATTAACATTATAATAGGTATATATAATTGTATATTATTTATATTATTTAATATTTGTTCATTTGCAATTGTTCATTCTGAAAGCTCCTTGCCATGATATGCCCCGCCTTGAACTAGCTTAGACATTTGAACTATTTGCAAAGACACACAATTTCCCAGTAGAATGATCTAGAAATTTGACAAATGTTGATATTCCATGATATTCCTAGCTGATTCTTGTTGTGGTCGTTTCGGTGCATGGTGACCAGCACGGCCACTGAGGCAATGGTTCCGGCAGCTCTTAGAACAGCTCCCGGGAGCCGAAGTCGGCACCGCGCGCGCAGCGCGCCTGGGGTCCTATGAGTTGAAGGAGGTGATGAGGAGCTGCTGCCCCTGGTGGGAAGATGCAGCCTGATGACCCATTTTTCCCTGGAAAGGTGTTGATGGTTTTGGGCGAGTGAGATGATTTGCTGCTGTTCGAGGCCGTTTTGGGGGCCGAAAATGTGGATTCTGAGTGGTGCTTTGAGCCACATTTTGGTGAGCTTGAATGCCATATAGAGCTTCGGCCCTAAGGCGCCGTGTTGCACAATGCTGCAATAGACTGAAGGTTGTACATAGCCCACTGTCATGGGACAAAGACTTCATTGATTGGAACAAAAAAAGGCAAAAAAAGGCCTGGTTTCCTCGAATCGGTGGCCAGCAAGGGTGGCGCTGCAAAGACATCAACAACTTGCTTGAGCCAAGCTCCGAAGGGCAACAGTATCAGCGGATGTTGGAATCCATGTTTGCGCACATGCCAATGATAAGCCAGAGGTTGATAGCAGCCCTGCTACCAGTTGCGCCAATACCCTCAGCAAAGTTGGCACAACTCACCTTGATGCTTTGATCCCCTGTAAGGTCTCCGACCATTGGTATTTGCATATATGGTCATATACGTACAGTCATTTCATTACTATAAACCATCCCGTTCTTGTTTGTGAGCATCACAGATTATGGTGGTTGAAACCATACCCCAGTCCCTTATATATTCTTATTTGGACTTGCCCTTTAGTGCTCAATCTGGCCTAGAATCCGAATGAATCCCTGGACACCAATGGTCACTATGGTGATTTCATGGTGATTTTTTCAGATTTTTTCCTGGCCTCTTGCCATATCTTGCCATGTCAAGGTGGCAGATCGCAACCCAAGGGCCTTCTTGGTGATCTCCCCATTGCTCTCAAAACCGGAGCTCTTGGAGAAAGTCTCCAGCTACAGCTGGACGGAGATCAAGGAACAACTGCAGGAGCCATCGAACTCGCCACGGTTTCCACGGGACGTTGTTGGAGCTGAGTGGATGATGTTGGAGACAAATGGAGTTTTTGTTGGTGGGAAAAAACTACCAGGATCATGAGTATTATAGCATTGTTGAAAGTTTGAAGAAATTGTGTAGAATGATGTCGAATGCATGTGGGGCTTATAGGTTTTGGTTTTCCCATGGCTCAAACCACCAGAAACGAGGGGAATCCGCTGTGCTGTTTGTTTTACATGAAGCAAATCGAAGCCGTGGATCATGATGTCAGTTACTGCAGTTTCTTGATATACACATCTATATATATAGATATAGAAAATTATATATCATTTAATTCTCCATTCCACTAAGAAATGCTAAGAATATGATATTTGGACTGGTTTGGTAAACGGCCACCCCTGGAACTCTGATGAAGTACTGGATTTTGATGGATTTGTCATACAGAGGGGTTATTATTTGGAGGATGGGATTAGTTGGCAGGTACTGTAGCCTGTTTCATTCCTGCAGCCTTGGCATCCTCTCATAACAGGGTATCCACTTGGAACTCATTGTTTTCACCCAAGTCGCACCGGAACGGCTTGAGATCCTGGATCCATCTGGATCCCTAAACCTGATCCTATGACTGCCGCAGGACGAACTTGCCTCCCTGATCCGTCGCGAGTCTGACGTGTGGCGGGGCTTCATCCAACGTCATGCGGATATGGTGAGCAAGGACGGGAACAACGGACGTTGAGCGGTTGGAGGGGTTTGAGTTATAGGATGTTATAGCTCCGGTCCAGTTATCCAATGGCTATACCATTTAGTACCAATCCTTTTCAGATTTTTCAGGGATCATTGACAGATTGTGGTATTTGATGTGGGGTGCATTTGACACAGTGACACATTTTGAAACATGAACAGTTGCCAAAGCTGACAAAAAGTATGCCCTGCATGGAGAGCAGGGCTCCAACTAAGATAGTGGATGTACGGTGTCATGTTTCAAGGATGCATTCTTTGCAAAGTATACCACAATTATTCCACAATTGCCAGCCATGGGTGAAGGTTTCTGAAGTATGGTGAACCACAGTAATTATACCACATTTATACCACATTTTATCCACATTTATACCACAATAATTCCACAATTCTCCAAGATTTATCACAATGGATCACCAGATTGCAGGAGTCGCTGAAGATCATTCAGAAGGTCTTGATGCTTGGCCCAAGACCTGCACCGAGATGCCGGGAATAACAGCCACCGCCTTGAAACTGAGGGGACGATTAAAGTTTTCATGAAGCAGTTTGAAAACGTAGTTTCAGCCATGTTTGATCGATCATATATATATATATATATGTATATATATATATATATGTGTGTTCTGATTTTTGGGTTGGGTGGATCACTCCAAAGAAATATCAAAGTGTTCATCAAATAGCTGGGAGGTCCAGCTCTGGCCGTCTGTGAGTTTCAAGCTGGACAGCAGGTGAGGATGGCCTCGATGATGATGATGGTGATGGTGATATGTTATGATGGCGACAGTTTGGGAGAGGTGAACAATTGCTGAGCGCGAGGAATGTGAAATGCCCTCAGGAAAAGCTGCGTTCCTGGCTCTGGACTGGGTCAGAAACTCAAAGCCATGAAAGCTGCTTAAGCTTGCAATGGTAATCTATGGCTTGTTGTTTTTCAGGGCCAGAAACGTTGAGTGTCACGAGCTGCAACCGATCGGGGCCCAGGTGAGTTCACCCTCCGCTTTGCGGAGGATGTCGACGAAGCCAATGAGGCGTGGGCTGTTGACGCATTAAGCCTTTGGGTGGCTCATAAGGTGTGCCACTTGAATAGTTTAAGTCATTTTTGTTGGGGGTTATCTCCAATTCATCAAACATATCCATAAAGTTTATCTCGGCTTATTCATCCGGGAAAAAAGCGTGCGTGATTTCCCGGGTCTACACCTGCAAGGCCGCGGGTGTAGAGTTGCATGATGAGAATATTCAACACATGATACACAGAAGTGAACTTCAGACCAAATCTCGTTCCATTCATTGTCCTGGGGTTTAGAGAGCGGCCAGTACCAACATCAGAATCAGGGGATTTAAATGGATTTAACATATTTAAACGAAAAAACACAACAGTTTCTCATGATTCTGACTCAGTCTTGCAGGCTTCATGACGAAATAACATTTATTGAACTTGTCATCTTGGGGGTATACCCCATTTTCAGACAGACCCATATTTACCATTCATTGATTAAATATCATGGTTGTCATGGTTCAAATATGAAATCTCATTGTTGCGGCTTACATCTCCAGTTTTGAGACGCCTTAAATCTAGGATCCTCTGGAGTCCAGTTGTTTTGATTAAATGATGTTCATCATAGTGATGTTTGAAAAACAATGGATTGGTTTAAGGGAAAATCTGCGGGAAACCCCCATACATAGGAAAATCCGGAAAATCCATGGTTTTCCCGTCGATTTCCCTTGAACCAATCCATTGAAAAGTTGGATTTCCCAGGCCCGGGAGTTGGCTGAGATGAGATTCGCGGAGGCAGAACAGCGCTGGGTCACTTGGCCCAACCTATACAGACTATGTACAACATCTACATAGAATTACCTACATGTATATGCAGTATATGCATTATATGCATTGTTTAAAACATATTGATATTATAGTATGTATATACTGTAATATCATGTGTATATATATATATATATATTCACGCATATATATATATATATACGGTAACACATATGTATATACGCGGGGGTATGTTCTGTCGATCCATTTTTCTATCTATTTTTCTATCTATCTATTTATCTATCTATGTATCTATCTATCGATCGATCTATCTATCACCTATCTATCTAGCTGTCTCTCTCTCTCTCATCTGTCTATCTAACTATCTATCTAATCTATCTATCTATCTATCGATCTATCTAATCTAATCTAAATCTAAATCTAAATCTAAATTAATCTAATCTAATCTAATCGAATCTATATAATCTAATCTAATCTAATCTAATCTTAATCTAATCTTAATCTAATCTTAATCTAATCTTAATCTAATCTTAATCTAATCTTAATCTAATCTTAATCTAATCTTAATCTAATCTAATCTAATCTAATCTAATCTAAATCTAATCTAAATCTAATCTAATCTAATCTAATCTAATCTAATCTAATCTAATCTAATCTAATCTATCCATCTTTCTATCTATCTCATTTGTCTATCTAACTATGTATCTATCTATCTACCTATCTACCTATCTACCTATCTACCTATCTACCTACCTACCTATCTATCTATCTATCTAGCTAGCTAGCTTGCTAGCTAGCTATCTATCTATCTATCTCTCGGTCTGTCTACCTGTCAATCTATCTACCTGTCTACCAGTCTATCTGCAACCTTGAAAACCGAACTATTCTGCGAGACTTCTTCATTTTTCAAAGTTGACAACATTAAAACAAGATGAAGCCCACGAACCCGAATGCTCACACGTATGTCCAAGATAACGATGTTAAAGTATCGATAATGATATGAGATGCAAATGTCAATGCTCAAACTCCAGAAGCAACGCCTCCTGCCCCAGCAAACCATGCAGATATCTCAGCTGCACACAGCGCAGAAAGCTCGGCAGCAGCACCGCAGCAAGGACACCGAGCAGCATAGTTAGCGGCAGCAGCAGCGCCAAGCAGCAGCCGCAAGCCGCGACAAGCCAGAGCGCAGCAGCAGCAACATACCGCGCGGCACGCCCTCGCAAGCAGTTCTGGCGCGCAAGCTTACGCCATTGCAGCGCGGACCGGCGACCCGCCATATTAAAAAAAGACAGATCTTCAACAACATCGCTATCAACCTTCATGCCTGCATAAGCACCACTTCCGTGCATGCGACATTTGCTTGCATATCTCTCACGATCATTCGAAATGTCTAGATCTTGCAAATTTTCCTTGATCTAACAACATTCCTCATGAACTGTGACTGCTTAACGTTCTCTTGCTATTGAGCCCAGCCGAAATGTTTGCCGACACAGAACCAAAAATATATAAACAACACTGTGTGAAATCTGGATGAGTCCACACGGCAACTTTCCACCTTCAACATAATCGCACTCTTGCCATATATTTACAAACCGCAAGCCTCACTGAACCAACAATCTAGTATATTCAAAATTTGAAACCTTGGCAAAGGAGACATTTTGCAATTTCCCCCATAGACACGGCGACGCCACAGGAAAACCAGAGACTCGAAACGAGATTCGTAAGTGCAGAAAAACGAACATTTCATGCGAGACTTCATCCAATTTTAACATTTTCGTCGCGTTATCAAACAGGTTGGAATGTCACAAAGTGCCACGCCTGCCATATCCTGCCATGCAAAACGACATGACAACCTGCATGGAAACATTC